CGTTTACTAAACGAACTCGACTCGCGAGCTCGATAAGCTCGGCTCGCAAGCCCATAAACTAGTTGAGTTCGAGCCGGCTCGCGAGTCGGCTCTGCTCACCCTACCCTCGCCACTGTTGACTGACGATCACTATTATTTTTAAACTTTATACTATATTTATTTTACTTCAATCAAAATAAAAAAAATTAATCATCTACATTTATTTTATACTCATCCAAATAATTTCAAAATATTTTAAATAGGATATTTTTTTTGATAGCATTGCATTGCATTCCTTTCATTTTTTGGCAAATCAAACAGCTCTTAAATAAGAAATTACCTTGCACAATAATCTTATTATTATTTATCTATTTATTACCATTTTCATTCATTAATGGAAAAAAAACTGCTCTGGACTACAATCTGACGAAGTGACACCCTATTAAATCGACCATGTCGTGTTGGGCCGTGTCGTGTCCAAATCTGCTACCTTCTCACATTCGAGGGTCGAAACGGAACCTGGAACACATCACCGCACCCCCCGGCGCTACCCTAAACCTAGCTTCGCCAACCTTGATTCCCGACGTGGATGCTCGAGCTTCCAACGGCCATTATTTGTCCTCTCAAAGACTCAGACAAAATCAAAGATCCTCTACCCGCATTTGTCCCCTTTCTACACCTGCGTTAAGCTTGAACCGTTATATGATGGACCGCAATGAATGCTAGGAAGTTTGATCAACTTGAAAGTCACCAAAAGGGAAAGGCGAAGAAGGTGAAAATTGTAAAGAATTTGGCGCCGTGGTACCTTATTTCTATTCCATGCAGTTCACTGCTTCTTTGTTCTACATATTCTGATACATGCAATATTTTTCAATTAAAACATCTCAACGATCGTTAAACCCTACTATACTGGGCGATTAACGTGGCTATTTCCCCCTATTGATGTTGTGTAAAAATTAGTTAAAATGCATGTTTTTAGGACCATTTTTTTACTTTTCTGAACAATGTGCCAGTGAAAGATAAGATTAGAGAGAGTCTCCTTAGATGGTTTGGTCAATGGCAGACTTCCGATGATCCGGTTAGAAAAATAGAGGTATTAGATTTGACTTATGTTAAGAAAGGCAGAGGTGGACCTAAAAAGACTTGGTTAGAAAAAAATAGAAATGATATTTCTTTATTAGATTTAAACGAGAATTTGACTTTTAACATGACACAATGGAGAAAAATGATTCATGTGGGACAGACTTGATGATGTTGTTGTTGTTGTTGTCTGAACAATGTGGCAATGAATAATGTTGTTTTGATGGAATTTAGGATTCGTTTGGGACGGCTTTTTTACTGATTCTTAAAGCAATTTTTTAGTACAAAAATTTTAACTTTTGTACTAGAAAGCAGCTTTAAAAAAAATGTAAGAAAGCCGTCCCAAACAAAGTCTTAGTCTTGAAATACAGTCCCAATAATATGCAATAGGATGAATTATAATAGTCTTCTTTTATAAAATATTTGTTATGTTGATAGATTTGTACTTGACGCTGTTACATATCATTCAAAGTGTATATCAGAACAAATCATTTCAATGTAATAGCATTGTTGTTGCCGAATGCTTTTACAATGAGTGCAGTGTATATAAGTATACAACTGCTTGCAGCTGTCAAATTGTCGGAGTCTCTTTAAAGTAAGCTGCTTTATAAAAATCAATTTTGATGAGCTTTCAGTGCAACTTTCTAGGGGTGTTTTTAAACGGGATTCACATGCCGAGACTGAATCTTAGGCTTGGGAGTCTGGTTGAGACTACCAAAAAGAAGCAAGCTTTGTGGCTTCTTTTTTCTACTCATAATTTATATTGTTTTGTTTTCTTGAACCACAGATTCAATATTTTGCATGGATTTTCTATTATTGCAGATATTAAACAATACATTAATTACTTACAATCCTATGCGAGCAGTTATTACTCTGCCTGTTTGGAGGATGTATATATTTTTACTTTTCAAGTATTTCAATATTTTTGACGAATATTGGAATAAATTTAACTTTTTTTCTTGCGCTTTTTTTGTTTTACTATGTTTCCAATGTCAAATTTTTATTTTCTTTACAGATCTGAATATGTGCCTTCTGATTGACAGTGTGATTTCCCTTTTTTTTTCCTTATGATGTCATTTGTGTGGTGCACTGTGATAATCATGCATTTAATATGGAAGGCTTTTAATGATCTTTGAGTTCCTAACATCTGGTATGAAATAACTTTAGTCCTTATGCTTTATGACTATAGCAAGAATGTGCAGCGGATTAACCAAACTGATCCTACCGTTGTTGTGCCAGACGTCCAGTGTCTGTGTTTCGATGGCGCTCAATCGAAGCCTCTGATGTCACCTGAAGGTTCAGCAATGAGTACTTTGACTAGCTATAGGACGTGCTTTTGGAGAATTTTTAAGGCTTTTTTTTTCGATTTTTCTCTTCCATCTTTACTTATATATGGGAGATAGAGTGAAAGGGAAATTGTGTAGATTATAAGGAGGTATTGTACTTTCGTTGTTACATCATTATGACAATTTTTTGGAGAGGAGATCCAAGTGTTCATCAAAGCTAGTTTCTGAGGGATCGGCTGATTTGATTGGGAGGGATTTGAGAGAGCTGGATCTGCCTCTCCAATTGAAGATCCAACCGTATGTTATTATTTTCTTTAATATATCTTACAATACAAATATTTTGGTGTATTTTTCTTTTTAATTTCTTATTATCATTCGCTGATTTCGAAGAAATTATATCCACTTCCTACCAGTTTCTGATAATATCCTTTTGGTGATCTCTCTACTGCAATATCTCATTTAACTTATTATAGTTTATTTACATTGTATTCTTGCAATACTTATAATCTAGATAAGTTGGCATTTTCCTTGTAAACTGCTCCTAAATCTTCTATTTTTGGACTTGGGTTTGCCTTGCTCATTTGGAGTGGTGTTGCAATCATGCTTGCCAGGTATGAGAGAATATATTTGATGTGAAGGATACTATGTCAAGAAAGAGAGAGCTTCTCCACAATAAGGAGGTAGACTAGTGGGATCTTAACTCTGTGGGGAACTAGTCATGGATATCAGCCGATTTAGTGTCAATTGATGTAGAAATCTATTGTCCCCATAGCTTGGCTTGCATTTCTTATTTATTTGCTAAATTACTTTGTATGTAGGATTAGATATCTATTTATCATATAACAACTCAAGGTATTTCTTCATTTTAATCACTCAATCTTATCTTTAGAAGTTTTATATTCTCATTTTTTTTTTCATATAATAGATCAAAGATACTTAAATCTGTCACATCTAGATATTTTAGATTCTATTAATATGGATTTATAAACCTTAATATCTGCCTAGAGGTTGATTTCCTCACTGAGCAGTAGGGAGTAGAGGTCGTCGAGGCTTATGGGGTGAAGCATTTTGCAAATGAATGTTTTGAAGGCTTGGTAGGAGGGTGGGAGGCCATTTAGGATATATAGGATGATGTCTTCGGAGTCAATAATTGCGCCGACTGCAGCAATTTTGTCAACAACAATTTTGATTTCAGTAAGGTACTAGGTCATGATGAGGTTTTTCTTGGAAATGTTGTGGAGATCATTTTTGTGTTGAATAACTCTAGAACGGTTTGAAGCTTACAACCTCCTTTCAAAGGTAAGCCAAATGGAAAAGCATGACTCAAGGTGTAGAACACAAGGAAGGATGGAGGAGGTAAGGGTAGAGCAGATAGCTGCGGCTAGGTTCACCGATCTATGAGAACCCATTCACTATATTTGGGGTTGATTGTGGTGATGCTTTCCGAGGACTGAGACATGCGAGGTGGTGGAGTTACTGTGGGTTTGATGAGGCTTGCGAATCCATTGGCTCGAAGCAGGTTGAGAACTTGCGATAGGCCAAGGAGAGTTGTGTGTTTTTTTTTTTACTGTTATATATCTCAGGTGTGAGTACATGCTATATTAATACAAGGGAATAGGCACGTGCCTTTACACGTGTACGTATGGTATTCATCCTGTTTTTATGAATTGGTCGTTGAGATTCGTTCTACAACAGTAGTGGCTGTGTGATTGTCCTGAGCCGAGACTTGTGTTGCTTTTAATATCACACCTACTTAAAATTTATTTCTGTTCCACTACTAAGCTGTCTATATTCTAAAATTTTTTATGTTGCTATATTTCATTTATTTTAATACATATATTACTAATTATTTCCATTTAGAACAATGCTATCTGTGAAAAGTATACGTGTAGTCAAATTTTGTTTTATTTGGTGGGCAACTAAATTTATGGAGCACTAAACTTGCCTACCAGAACATTTTCATGGAAACTATGAACCTTCTTTATTGGAGTTTTACATTACTTTCAGGTCTCGTTTCTTCACAATCACATGTTTATGAAGACATAAATAGCTTTATGTTTTTTCCCTTTTTGGTGGATGGGGAACTAAGGCTTCGCTTGGGACGGCTTTCTTACTGCTTCTTAAAGTAATTTTCTAGTATAAAAATTTTAATTTTTATATTAAAAAACTACTTTAAGAAGCAGTAAGAAAGCCGTCCCAAACGAAACCTAAATCGGCATTGGAAGGCATGTTAAACCTTTATTTTTTTGGCATGAAATATTAACCTTTTTTTTTCAACCTTATGGTTATCTGACCTTATGCTGTTGCTTTCTGCTTTTTGATGCTGGTTTTTTTTGCTTGTTAACTTGCAGATGGGAGATCAAACCGACCTGAACTCTATTGAACAAGATGCTTTTTATGTCATTAATGATACTGCTATAGAAGGCAATGATGTGGAAATCGCAACAGAAATTAGTGTAGCACCCAAGAAAAGCTCAACAAAACGTAATAGAAGGCTTACATCTGCTGTTTGGGGGTACTTTGAGTTGCTCCCTCCGGGTAAGGATGGGAGGCAAAGGTGCAAGTGCAGGAATTGTGGAACATCCTACTTGTACGATAGCAAGTTTGGAACAGGTAATATGAAGCGTCATTTGAAAACCTGTTGGAAAAGAGAAGCTCGGGATGTTGGCCAACTGCTTCTAAGACAATATGATACCACGCCTTGCTCTACTCCTAAATTTGATCATGAGAAGTTCAAGGAAATATTAATGGAAGCTATTATGTTGCATGATCTGCCTTTGCAAATTGTTGAATGGGTAGGCTTCAGAGATCTTTTGCTTTATTTATGTCCTGATTTGCAGCTTGGGACTAGAAACACCATGGGGGATGATTGCATTACGATGTATCGAAGGGAGAAGGCTAAAGTGCGAGCCATATTACGAGCAACATCGAATAGGATCAGTTTGACATACGATTTGTGGTCTTCTTTGAACACTGATGATTATATATGTTTAACAGCTTATTTTATTGATAATAACTGGAATTTGCAGAAGAAAGTTTTGAATTTCTGCTTAGTGCCACCTCATGATGAGACATCTTTGGCTCAAAAGCTCCAGGATTTCTTGGTTGATTGGGGGATAGATAGTAAAGTATCGACGATTACAGTTACGAGTGCTTTGACAAATTCCTTTTCTGTTGAGCTGTTAAAGAGCCAATTAAACTCAAGCAAGGGGTCATTATGGGATTCTGATTATATTTGTCTTCAATGTTGTGCCCATACTATAGACTTGATTGCTCAAGAGGGACTAAAAGAGATTGCTGTGTCTCTCCACAAAATCCGTGAAAGCATCAAGTATATAAAAGGTTCTGAAACTATAGAGCAGAAATTTTTTGAGTGTGTTACTCGTAGCTCTCTTGATGATAAAATTGGTTTAAGGCAAGATGTTCCCACTTGGTGGAGTTCCACTTTCATTATGCTTGATAATGCTCTTTCTTATCGCGAGGCTTTCATGCTTTTAGATATCAGTGATATAAATTACAAGGACTGCCCTTCAAAGAGTGAATGGGATAATTTAGAAAAGATAGGAAAGCTCTTGGCTGTTTTCTATGATATTCATTGCGTGTTTTCTAACACCAAACATCCTACTGCAAACTTGTATTTTCCTGCAATCTTTTCAGCTTATTTAACACTTAAAGAAGAAATGGGAAGTGAAGATGAGTGTTTGAGAGCATTGGCAGCTTACATGCTTTCTTTGCTTGAGAAATATTGGTCTAGTTTCAATATGATACTAGCTATTGCTGTTATTCTGGACCCCAGATATAAGTTCAGTTTTGTTGAATGGTGCTACAAGAAGCTTTATGGTGATGGTGGAGCTCTCAATTCTATGAATGTGAAAGAGAAATTATACTCTCTTTTCAGCATGTACGCTAGTCCTCCCAAACTGCATCCGGGCACCAAAACAGGAATTGTAGCCAACAATAGAAGCAATAAGGGTAGCTTTAGTGCTCCGGAAAGGCCCTTTTCAAGAGCAACTGATGATTTTTTCAAGGTAAGGTCATTTGAATTATTGTTTAAGCAAATTTGATTGTTTTTTGTCAAGTTAATCTCCGAGCACTTTATTTGTTGGTAACAATTAGTGGTGTAAGTGAGCCGAGCCGGCTCGAGCTCGACTCGTTTATAAGCTCGCGAGCCGAGCTTATCGAGCTCACGAGTCGAGCTCAAGCTCGAGTTCGAGCTCATTCATTAAACGAGCTCGAGTTCGAGCTTGACAAAGCTCGGCTCGCGAGCTCGCGAGTCTGCTTGAAATTATTAAATTTAAATATTTAGAAAAAATTAATAATGAGGCCATAGGGATACTTAAATTTTTGCCAATTAAAATTTAAAAATCCCGCTTGAAATCTTGGAAAACCACCTGAAATCTCAAACGCCTCTCTCTCTCTCTCTTCTCTGATTTGGCCTTTTCTTTTCTATTATAAATGCAAACGGCTAACACTCATTTCCTTTTCTGACAAACCTAAAAAAAGGGCTCAGATCTCAATATCCTCTCTCTCTCTCTCTCTCTCTCTCTCTCTCTCTCTTTCTCTCTCTCTCGTTGCAATTTTACTTTTAAGGCAAATTAAAACCGAGAATTAATTTTTTGGAAGATTGTGCTACGCGTGTTGGAAGGCGAACCGGACCGCATTTGGGGCCCGACGAGTGGCTCAAGCTCGGTTACGGTGGAACGAGTTGAGTTCGAGCTTGATTTTTGAGCTCGACTTGAGCTTGAGCTCAGTATTTGACAGTTGAGCTCAACTTGAACACCTCCTAACTCGAGCTCGACTCGACTCAACTCATCTTCACCCTAGTATCAATGCATTTTTTTAGTTGCTTCAATTAGTAATATATTTTTTGCTATCTTTCTTCCTATTGCATGCAGGAATTTGATTCTTTGGCAAGTGAAGATATTGTCCTACAGAAGTCACAACTTGAACTGTACTTAGATGATCCAAGAATTGATAGAAAGACTGGATTGGATATATTGTCATATTGGAAATCAAATCAATTTAAATATCCTGAAGTTGCTGCTATGGCTCGTGATATTTTGGGTATTCCTTTCTCTACTGTTACAGTGGAGAGCGCTTTTGATGAGAGTGACAGAGTGCTTGATCGGTACCAAAGTGCACTCAATTCTGACATATTGGAAGCATTTATCTGCACTAGAGATTGGCTATGTGGAGACAATGGTATGCATTTGATTGTTTAATGTTGCTAGATTTGATATTGGTGTTCCTTTTCTTTTCTTTTCTTTGACCCTTAGAGATAGAATACGAAATGAGCATATACGTGAAAAGGTTGGAGTAGCTCCAATGGAAGATAAGATTAGAGAGAGTCGCCTTAGTTGATTTGGTCACATTAAACGGAGGCCTTCCGATGATCCGTTTAGGAAAGTTGAGGCATTAGATTCGACTTATGTTAAGAAAGGTAGAGGTAGACCTAAAAAGACTTGGTTAGAGAATATTAGAAATGATCTTTCTTTATTAGATTTAAATGAGAATTTGACTTTTAACCGGACACAATGGTGAAAAAGAATTCATGTAGCCTACCCCATATAGTGGGACAAAGGCTTGATGTTGTTGTTGTTGTTGTTTCAAATTTCTCTTTCACTTGATTTGTTTTTTTGCTCATGTAGATACAACAAAGCAAATGTTGGAGGAGCTTACTAAGAATATATTTCAATTGAATGTCAATGACAAAGTGAAGCTTCCTGGATGTTCAATGCCAGGTAATCATACATAGCTGATTTGCTCAAATTGATGACTTGATTGAGCTTTGAATGGAATTGTAGGGAATGGAGAGAAACTGGTTTTATCTATTAGTTGAAAATGCCGCATGCTTCTTTATTTTTGTTAGCGCATTTGGCATTTGTATTTCGTAAATATTGTCAATCATGTTTCCTCCTCGCACCCTTAGTCACATCAATCTCTCTCCATAATCATTCTCCTTTTTCTTGGCCATGTTTCCTGCCTCTCTAGGAGAGATTATTACGTGCGGTGTCCGGACTGATCGAAGACGAATCCGGATGCGCCACGTCACTTGGATGCACTGGGCCCCGGGTGACGTGACGCGTCTGAATTGACCTCAAGAAGAATCCGGACGCCGCACGTAATAATTTTCCTCTCTCTAGGGCATGGTTGGACATAAGTATTTAGGATTCATGTATTTTGAATATGCATTTTGATTATTCAAGTTTATTTAGTTTGTTGAAAAATAATTTTAGGAAATTAATGTTTTTGTGTATAATTGTTTGAAAAATGAATCTAGTTTTTTTTTTTAATGAACCAGCAATTGAAATATTTATTAATGTATATCTTTTAATTTTTATAATACTAATTTAAATTAAATTAAAAAAAAAAAACTTAAAAGAGTGCATACAGCATTTTATTAAAAGAGGAATACAAAAAACGTAAACTAAAGATGAAAACCTAAATTCCTTTCCTCTCTTGACAAAACCCAATAGAGAGGAAGGTAACAAACTAACAAAGTAATATCATTTTTATTTCAAAAGAAAATACAATTAAGAGCAAATTTGGCACAGAATTCGGCCGCGTTAATTAGCTTTTCTTGGAATGAATCTGAAAATGACTTGCTGCAGATTTGTAAGAAAAAGATATATCTGCCATACTAGGGAGTCTTCTGTGATGTGGATTATCTGTCAGTAGCTACTGAAATAATTTTATAAACGGCTTATTGTCTCCTTCAATTAAAACGCTATGCAATTCAGAGGAGATCAATATGTTTATGTTTTGGAGATCAAATTTGCACCCAAAATAATCACTAGAGCGAAATCAGCATCAAATTGCGAAGAGCATCCACCAAAATCAATAGAACATAACAATGATATGCAGGAACAACACTAATAAAACTGAAATAATAATCTTCAATCAAAGAAATATAAGATATAATTGATTCAATGTTCAAGAGGAGAATCTGATCTCCCCCAATTTCCTATCAACGGAAAATCACCCAAGAAAAAATACTTTAGAAAATCCTTCACTAATCCCTCCCAAATATAAACATTTTCCCATAAAATCAACCCTAACCCACCAAAAATGCACCTCATATTTCCTTTAATGATTTTCTCTTAAAATTTTTCCACAATAAATGTACCTCGCATTTTATTCAATGATCTGACCTTAAATGTTTTGCTCCTATAGTTCTGAAATGAGGTGTTGGGACATACAAAATAGGAGCCTTTTGGCTCCAAGAATTCCGCCTAGATGCCACCCAAGGGTGGGGCCCACAGCCATATCAATACTCCACTCCCAAAAAGTCATATTGTCCTCAAGGTGGAAAGAAGGAAATTGCTTTAGATAGTGTTGTGGGCTTAACATGCCGTTTTATACTATGATAAATTCTTTCACTTGATCAACACTTCCCTGATCCCCTTGTCTCCTTAGTGCACCTCTTGCACCTCTAGTGGTTTTAATATTACATTCATATCTTTTGACAATGTAGCCGGTAGTGCGGGCGCAGGTATATGGTTTTCAATGGCTCGTCTTACCCGCGTCACATGAAATACTAGAAGGATGGCTGAAGTTGGTGGCATCTATAAGTGATAGACGGTCGAACCATTGTGCTCCACGACCTTGTAGGGCCCAGAATATCTAGGGGCAAAGCTTCTCATTCCTCCGTCGAGCCAGAGTCCTCTGTCTGTAATGCCAGATCTTCAGATAAATTCCATCTCCAATCTCAAATTTCACATCCCTCTTGTGTCCATATGTTTGCTTCTTTATAATTTACTATGCTGATAGTATATGTCCCTTCAATTTTGCCAAGATCTGGTCTCTTTCTTCTAAGTATTGCTCCTTTGATGATATTAGTGCTTGTCATGCCCATAATGTAGCAAATGAAGCGGGTCTCCCATATAGAATTTTGAATGATATTATATGGGATGTTGTATGATATGAAGTGTTATACCAGAACTCTACAAGTAGGGGTGTCAATTTTGGGTCGCGGGTCGGGTTCAGGTCGAACTCGAAATTTACCCGGCACTATTCGGGTCAACCCGAACCTGAGCTGTTTTTGCAAACGGGTCGATTTTTCGGACCCGAAACCGACCTGCTTCGTGTCCGGGTCAACCCAACAAGACCCGAATGACCTGAGACCGACCAAAAAAAATGCTAGTTTTCAAGTCAAAAAATGAGTCAATCTCCAATTTTTGAGTCAACATCGGGTCAAAATAGGCTAATCTCGGGTTTTCGGGTCATAAACGAGTTTTTGGGTAAAAAAACAGGTCAATTTTGGGTTACTGGGTCAACCTGAACTCGACCCAATTTTTGAAATGGGTCGATTTGTTGAACCCAAAACCGACCCGTTTTGGGTCCTGGTTGACTCTAATCCGAAATTTTTGAGTTGGGTTCGAGTCGGATTTTCTGGTCGTGTCAAATATTGACACCTATATCTATCAGGCTAGTCATTTGGCCCACATCTTTGGGGAATCTGATACAAAGCAATGAAAATAAGTCTCCACATTATGATTTACCACCTCCATATGGACATATGTCTGGGGGTGGTAAGCGATACTCCGCTTTAGGATAGTCCCCTACATCTTGAATCACTCCCACTCCCTCCAAAAAATGGCTCAAATAGACATTGTCCCGATGAAGCACTATGGACTCGGTATGCCATGCAAACAAACCACCTCTTTAGTAAAAGCGGTTGCCATTGGCACCGTGATCTATAGGTGGCGTAGGGGAATAAAATGAGCTTTTTTACTCAATCCGTCCACTACCACTAGAATCACTATGAATCCTTCTGACTTAGGCATTCCCTCAATGAAGTCCATAGTCACCTCTTTCCACACCTTTTTGGGTAAAACTAAAGGTTATAAAAGATCACATGCAACCATATCCTAATATTGTGTCTCTGGCATACATCATAACTAGACACCATCTTCTCCACATCCTTCTGCATGCCAATGCAGTACAGCTCCGTTGCTAGTAGACAATATGTCCTTTAAATTCCCGAATGTCTCCCTAATAACTTTGCCATGAAACTCCTACAACAAGTGAGGGATGCATGGTGATGTCCTTGATGGCATGAACGGTCCATAGTATAGCAACTTCTGACCCACCAAGGAATAACCAGGATGGCTAACCTTGTTATGCAGTAAATCTCCTATGATTTTACTCAACTCTTCATCATGTTCGCTCTCTTGCTTCAAGACTCCCCAATTCACCTCCATGGCGACTGATAGAGCTATAACATGGGGATCTTCACTGCGTCTGGAGAGAGCATCTGCCGCTTATTTTCCAACTCAAGCTTGTATTGAATCTCAAAGTCCTACCCAAGAACTTGGAAAGCCACCGCTGATGCTCATTTGTCACCATCCTTTGTTTTAGCAAGAACTTCAAACTCCTCTGATCGGTCCTGACTATGAAATACTGCCCAATAGGTATGTTCACTACTTCTGAATTGCTAACACAATCACCATCAATTCCTTTTCATATATTGATTTCAGTTTGGCCTTACCAGTCAACACTTGACTTAAATAAGCTATGGGCCTTTGCCATTGTATGAGAACTGCTCCCAACCTATAGCCTGATGCATCAGTCTCCACTATAAACGACTGGCTAAAATCTAGTAGTTTTAACACAAGGACACTAGTCATGGCTTTCTTTAGTTGCTCAAATGCCTAAGTGGCTGCCTCACCCCATCTGAAATTGTCCTTCTTCAGCTGCTCTATCAACGACCATGGTATATAGCTGTATCTCTTCACATACTTCCAGTAATATTTTGCGAGTCCCAATAATCCCCTTAGTACTTCACCCTATGTTGTGCAAAAGAGCACTTCTTCACGTTGGCATATAGTTGGTGCTCCTTCAAAGTTCCCAACACCATCCCCAAGTGCTCCTCCTCCAACTTGCTATAGATATGGATGTCATCAAAGAATATCATAACAAACATCTGAAGATAAGGCTTAATACCAAATTGTTATGTTTTAGAGATCAAATCAGCACTCAAAACAACCATTAGAGCAAAATCAACATCAAACAGGGAAGAACAACCAACAAAATCAAGAGAAAATAATAATGGTATACGGGAACAACATTAATAAAGTTGAAATAACAATCTTTAATTAAAGAAACACAAGATATAAATGATTCACTGTTCGAGAGGTGAAACGACTCTCCCCCAATTTCTTAGCAGCAACTAAGAACCCAAAATCACCTAAGAAAAATTACTTAAAAAATTCTTCACATATTCCATATTCCCTCCCAAATGCAAACCCCCCCCCCCAAACATTTACACTCCTATTGCACTTAAAACATTCCCTTAAGCTCTATTTTTTCCCTTGCATTGCCCTCTATAGTTATTTTCCTTGTATTATACACTAGTAACTGTTTTCAGTTGCAAGGCTTTGAGATGATTTTGCATTAGCAGATCTCACTTTCTGCTGTTTAATTAGCTCCAGCTCAGGGAATAGCACAAGTTGGATCGTTATTATAGATTAGCGATTTTCTAACTCCTCTATTTGAACTCGTGCAACTAAATTATATGGCTAAGTAGCACTATAATATAAATTATAGAATATGGAAAGACATTTGATACGGTATTATAATGTATATTTATTTAAAAAAATTATAGTTTTAAGTAAGATAAAGACAATAGAAAAAGAAGTGGAGCACGATACATAAATAATAAATCATTTAATTATAATATTAAACTTTAAAAGATGAAGAGGACATAAATAATTTTATAGGTTATAATAAAAAAAGATAGCATAAACTGTCTAAAGAGTTCTGATATATTCTCAAAAAATTATCTTGATCGGCACGAATCTCGAGGCAAAACTCAACCTGAAAACTTCAAAAATTAATTCAGGGAGCACTCAAACTCC